AGCTTAAAAAAAAAATATATATATATATATAAAATATATATATATGTAAAATATATATATATAGTGGATAATGATGCCTAACTCCAGGGATTTCTATAGAATTAGGTAAGATAATGTATATAAAGCATAACTGGCATATCATAGGCATTAGAGTTTTTTTTTCCTACTTTCAAACTATTCACTTCTTCTTTGGATACCTCAACAAGAGAATTAACTTAGTGTCTTATATACACCTGCTATGTTTAAGAAAGAAAAGCTACCACTAACTCAATCACTGCTGATAGCAGACATTTATGCAAATAAATCCTACTTCCTGAATGATTGGGCAATATAAGGATAAAAAAGAAATTCAGAAGGGCCTGGAATAATTATGCCATGTTTTCTAACTTGAAATAGATGAATTTTCAGCCCAGCAACAAATCATTTCAGGGACGACAAATGAAGGGCATTTGAAATAAATGGTCAATTCTTTAGCACCCAGTTTGTAGCCTCATTTGTAGCAAGATTTATTGTTGGGCTGGGCCACTAGCAACCTATAAGCACCCTCTGTGAAGCATGTTGTATGAGTTTTCTATTGCTGCTGTAACAAAGTACCACAAACTTAGTGGCTTACCACAACACAGATTTATCTTGTAGTTTTTTTTAGAGGTCAGAAATCTGAAATGTGTATTATTGAGTTAAAAAATCAAGGTTTCAACAGTGATGCATTTCTTCTGGAGACTCCAGGGGAGAATCTTTTCTGTTGTCTTTTCTAGCTTCTAGACCCTATCTGTACTCCTGGGCTCATAAGCACTTTCTCTGTCTTCAAAGCTAGCAATGCCAGGCTGAGTTCTTCTCATGCTACCATCTCTATTGGCGCTCTCTTCTGCCTTTCTCTTCCATTTATAACAACCGTTGTAATTGCACTGGGCCCACCTGGGTAATCCAGGACAATCTCCCTATCTTAAACCAACTGATTAGCAGCCTTAATACCATCTGCAACCTTAATTCCCCTTTGCCATGGAACCTAACAAATTCACAGGTTTCAGGGACTAGGACATGGATATATTTGGCAGCCATTGTTCTTCCTACCACACATTTGGTCCATGCATGCAAGCCAATTTAATATTATCTAAAGTGAAACATAATTAAGAAGACTCACTTGCTTAAAAATGTAATAAAAAATACCAGAAAAGCAAGGATTAGTCAAGTTTTAAGTATTCCAAGCATCTGATAATCAGTCAAGTTCTTTGTATTCTCCATGCCTCCCACCTTGTTATTCTGTTCTTTGTCTCCACTGGTACCGTCCTTATTCAGGATCTTATCATGTTTTACCTGGATTATTGCAGTGGCATTTTCCCTAGCCTAGCTGGCTCCCATTTCTAACCTTCCGTTCCATTCATTTAATTTTATTAGCAATGGCATCAGAGGGACCTGCCCCCAAATATCTCAACAACTCTCAATTGCCAACCAAATGAAATATAAATTCCTCAGTTCAGCAAAGATGTCTCTAATCTGACTGCAGCCTTGAAAATTTTTCATTTTCATCTTTCACCACTTTATTTTATACATCCTAGATTCCCAGCATGTGGGATGACTCTAGTTCACTATTTCCCTTCCTTCCTCAAACCACTTATTGAACACCTGCTGAGTTCATGGTACTGTGCTGGAGACTGATCAGCCCAAAGAGAAACAGGACAAAGTCCCTGCATTCCAAGAGCTCGCAGTCTAATGGCAGGAGAAAACAGCCAATCACAGTGCAGGGGGATAAACGCTACGACTTGACGGACCAATGGGAAGACCGCGCCCGGTGGAAGTTGCAGGAGAGGCAGCTTTCGCTTTCACACCTCCATGTTTTTGCCTCTGCTGTGCTCCCTTCCTTGTGCCACTTGAAATCCTCCTCATCCTTCAAGGCCCGCCAAAGCCCCCACTTCTGTGGGACCACCTCAGTGGTCCCCAAGCAGAATCTGCGCTCCTCTGGGCTCCAGCAGCACGTTATACCTTGCCCAGTTTTGCATCCTACTGCAACTATTAATTGTGTCGATGGCTGACAGCCTGCCACCGCCAGGAACACACCCACGGTCAAACAAAGCAGCAAGGGTGAGCCGCCATGGAAGAAGCACTCATGTCAGCCTGGAGAGGCAGCTGTTGGGTTATTTTTTGGGGTGTCCATTGTTGTTTATTCTCTGTTCAGACGTAATTACTCAATGGCCTAGTTTTTGCTGTGTTGCATCATGGCTATAGCGAGTGTTTGCCTGATGGTGATATTCCGTGAAATTCTTTATGCTCAGGAGGGAACACCAGAGCCTGCTGGCAGCGACTAGGCCAGCGACCAGCTGACAGATGTCAGGGCTGCTTTTCTCTTTCTCAGTCTGTGCATTTTCCTCCCCTATTAGATCGGAACCCCTTGGAAGGCTTTCCTCCCACCTCGTATTTCCCACACCATCTCTTACAGCGCCCTATAACAAGATCAGCAACCACACGACTAACTTTTAGATAAAGACAGCAACCGGCAGGGCTGAGATTAGGGTGAGGAGAGTAAGCAGGGGAGCGCAAGTGCAGAATTGAATCCTGTCTTTATTTTCATGTTTTGTTCCATATTTTAAAGGTATTATTGTGATGGGCTGAGTTTTGTTCCCCAAAAGAATAAGTTGGAGTCCTGGCCGGGTGCAGTGGCTCACGCCTCTAATCCTAGCACTCTGGGAGGCCGAGGCAAGAGGGTCGCTTGAGCTCAGGTGTTTGAGACCAGCCTGAGCAAGAGCAAGATCCCATCTTTACTAAGAATACAAAAATTAGTCAGGTGTAGGGGCACACACCTCTAGTCCCAGCTACTGGGGAGGCTGAGGCAAGAGAATTGTTTGAGCCCAGGAGTTGGAGGTTGCAGTGAGCTATGATGATGCCACTGCAACTCTAGTCTGGGTGACAGAGTGAGACTGTCTCAATGAAAAAAAAAAAATAGGAAAAACAGAATATGTTGGAGTCCTCATCCCCAGTTTTTCAGAATGTCCCCATTTGTAAATAGGGCCATTGCAGAGGTAATTAGTTGAGATGAGGTCATACTGGAGTAGGCTGAGCCCTTAATACAATATAACTAGTGTCCTAATACTAAGGGGAGAAGATGCAGACATACAAGGGGAAGAAGCCACATGAAGATGGAAGCAGAGATCAGAGTGATGATGCCACAGCTAAAGGACATCTGGAGCTATGAAAGTTGGAAGAGGCAAGGAAGGATCCTCTTCTAGAAGCTTTGAAAGGAGCGTGGCCCTGTCAACACCTTGATTCTTAACTTCCAGCTTCCAGAACTGAGACAGTAAGTTCCTGTTGTTTTCAGTCTCCCAGTTTGTAGTACTCTGTCACAGCAGCCCTAGGGCATTAATCCAGTTAGTTTTCTTGATTACTAATGCCTCCTTAAATTTTGCACCTGAGGCCCTACACTTGCCTTTATTGAGTGCTTACTATCTATCTATCAGGCATTTTTCAAGTGCTTTGCACGCATGATCTAATTTAATGCTCACCACACCCTTTGAGGCAGGTATTCTTATTATTTCTGTATCACATATGAAAAAATGTGATAGGAGATGACTGACTCAGGTGCTCACTTGAATAACTGAAGAATTAGATTGGCTTTGCAAGTGTCATCCTCTCTTTAAAAATTCAGTTGCCAGTGTTTCTACTTTAACAAAGCTTTTTGATGTTCACCTATGGCTGCAGCTTTTGGGGACAGATAAATCCTAGAGAGAAGTCAAATTAGTCACGGAGATAACTGGGGTGAGGAGAGAGCTGTCCTGTGGGCTTAAAGGAGAAGATTCAATCCAACTTAGATAAAAAATATCTACTCAGCTCCTACCTAGTAGCAGGCACTGTACTAGGCACCAGGTATACAGATATGAGTAACTGGCAATATCTCAGTTCGAGGAGCTCACAGCGCAGTGGGAAGCCAGGCTCTAAGAGGTACAGTGACTATTCTTGTCCTAAGTGCTGTCATGCAGCCAGTGGAGGAGGGGGAGGGACATACGAGCGGAGGCGAAGGGGAACTCAGTCTCTGCTCCCAAAGCATACGCTAACTGCAGTGTCGTCCTTGTCTGTAAGGTCCCCACCTCCTGGCATGAGCCTCTTCCTGCCTCCTGTCTTCCTCTGTACTGGATCAACTGACCTGGCACAGGCAGCGTTTGGAAGCCTCTGACATCGCATTGCTGGGCTGCCAGCCGCTGCCAAGAGCGTGTCCTTGGGAAGGAGGAGTGGCAGAGGGTTTCCCAGATGGTCATAAAAAGAGCTCTTGCTGCTTTGTGAACCAGCCTCAGCAAAGCTTTAGAGACATGTGAAACGTGGGCAGTGCGGCTTTAAAGTGGTCAGAGCCATGGCCATTCTGGTCGGAGGGACAGTGCACACATGCAGCCCCCTGTCACGTGCCCCGTGGCCAAGCGAGCTGCTCCCTCGCCTGCGTTTCCATCTCCTGTGTGGGCTGCGCACACTGTATCACATTTACCTCCCACATCTCCAGGTTCCTGGGGCTGGGAACCTAATCTCATCTGTCGTAGGCTCCCCATCCCCTGTCTGGGGCATGGTGGATGCTCACCAGGGGCAGAAGGGTGCAGCGCTTGGGGACCCCGGCTCTGGAGCCAGACACCTGGGGTCAGATCCTGCCTCTGCTCCCATAACAGTTGTGTGGCTTGAGTGACCTTCCTGCTTCTTCATCTGTAAAGTGAGAACCCTCCCTCTTGAAGAGTTGTGTGGGGATCCAAAGAAGCCTCTTCTTACACTTCCTGGCACACAGGAGGCACTCAGCAAATGCTAGCTATCCTTATTAACGATGCAAGGCGTGGGGCTGATTTGCAGTCCCCCTAGCTGGGAGCGAGGCACTGAGCAGGCAAGGGCATTGGCAGCGGAGCCAAAGACCTTTGGCTGGTGCAGCTCGATATCATCTCTAAACCAATAAGCAGTCTGGTAGGAGAGTGCTTCGGCAGCAGGTTCCAGCCAGCGTTAAAAATAAACTGCACCTAATAGAGCTGTCCTACTTACAGGCAGAATTGTCACCTCCCTGGACAACACCTCATTGCATGAAACAACACTGGCACCCAGTGGACGCCTGGCTGAAAACGTTTGCAAGTTCCTCTCATCCTTGTCAATGGGAAATGATCATCTGTGAGTCATTCATTCATTCATTCACTCATTGGGACTTACTTACTGTTGGATTGTTTTTGTCCTTGCTTAATGCTTACTTTCATTGCTTGGGTGCTTGAGCTAAGAGCTTTGCTATGTTGTCAACCCCATGAGGCAGCTATTATTATTCCTGTTTTATAGATGAGGCAGGCTTAGGGAGTTTAAACAGCCTGCCCTTGAAGAAACACCTATGATTAGGGGACACTAAGGAAATAACAGGTGATAATAATAATTGCTAACATTCATTAAATCCTCCATTCATTAAATCCTCCATAAAGGAGGCAATGCTATTTTTATTTTTACAGATGAAGACAAAAACAGACAGCATGCTTTATTGAGTTACCTAGGTTCCTACAATTAGCAGCCCTGGAGCTAAAAACCTAGCCTGAGTCTAAAGCCTGGGTTCTAAAACCACGCTTCTGCATCAGGACAACACTGCCTAAATATATTAGATCATTGATTCATCCATTCATATACTCTCTCACTCATTTATTCATCCAACGAAAGCATGGGTGAATGCCTACCATGCAGGCAGTGTATAGAAGGTACCAGAGAGAAAGATACATCAGCTCCAGCCTTCAAAGACCCCGTGGATTAGAACAAGTCAATGCCCCTGCTATTTCAGGCGAAATCTAAGTATGCAGGCTTATGGGGGCGCGTTGTATATGTGTGTGTGTGCTGGCTTTCATGCAAAAAACATTTGAATCAAAGCAGTGTCTACTGAATTTAATTTTTCCATAAAAAGCCAGAACCAAAGTGGTCTTGGAGAAAGGCCACCCAGTATATTCCTTTTTGGGAGATGTGGATCTGGCCAACGTGGTCTCTATCACAGCTACATTGTTTAGGCCTCGAGGACTGCAAACATTCCAGCTAATCCCCACATCCACAGCTCTTTGCCCGGGGGTTTGGTGTGAGCCTCAGGAGCCTGCTCCACCCAGGCGTTCACTGGGCACTGGAAATGCCAGGGAAGGGACAACTCTCCCCCCAGGACTTCGTGTATCCGTTTCCTATCACTGCTGGAACACACGGCTGCAAACTTAGTGTCTTAAAACAACACAAATTTATTGTCTTACCTTTCCAGAGGTTAGAAATTCAAAATCACCGTGCTAAAATCAAGGTGTCCACAGGGTTTTGGGTTCCTTTTTGGAGGCTCTGCAGAAGAATCTGTGTCCTTGTCTTTTCCAGCCTCTAGGGGCTGCCCATGTGCCTTGGTTCATGGCCCCTTCCTTCTTCCAAACCAGCGAGGGCTGGTGGAGTCTTTCCCACATGGTATCATTCCATCTCTACTTACCTCCTCCATGTTTAAGGACCCTGTGATTCCATTGAGCCCACCCAGATATTCCAGGATAATCTCTTCATTTAAGGTGAGCTAATTAGCATCCTTAATTCTATCTGCTACCTTAATTCCCCTTGGCCATATAAAGTAACATACTCCCAGGTCCCAGGGATTTGGATGTGGACATCTTTGGGGAGCCATTCTTCTGCACCACACGTGGCTGCCTGTCCCCTGGGGCAAGACGACTCTGAGATGTGTGCTCTACAGCAACTCCCAGAGCTCCCCAGGGTGTCCGCAGTGGTACCTGGCCAGACAACACGCCCGTTTTTTCCCCCTTGCCGCTTACCCACACCCTAGTGTTTCCCGGGATCACCATCCAAGTAAACCACTGAACTCAAATGCCTGTCTCAGGGTCGGCTTCTGGAGGCAACCAAAAATAAGAGAGTGGACAGCCATTCTCAGGTTTGTTTGATCAATTCGGACTACCGAGCTCAGACCAATCTCTGACCACCTCACACAACTATGTCCCTTCCGATAAAGAAGGGAGAAATTAGAATTAGGTGGGACGTATGGTAGAATTAGGCTCTATGCTGAGACCAGGATCCAGGAAGACCCCAGAGAAAAGTGGGGTGGACAAGGAATAGGCACCTGTTGGATCCTGGAGTCTGGGGAGAGGAATTGTGAGGATGCCAGAAAACGTCATTGCTGAGCAGCTGACGTGACGGCAAGTGCTGAGAACCACAGGGAGCACTGTCTCTCTTTGCAAGGATTTGTCATCAGCTTTTTGTTTTTGCTGTGTAGTTGTGGTTATATAGAACCATTCGGTGTTTTCCCCTCAAGCAATAATCTCTCTGGGGACTTTCAACCTTTACAAATGCTCTGATTACATGAAAATCAGACATACCTGCGGAACAGCTGGATCCGAATAAGTTGTCATTAGCACAGGTTTCACAGGCTGTTCCACCAAACCCTTCCTGCAAGACAATAGACCCAAGGTGACCCACGTTACCCTTCTTGCAAGACATTAGACCCAAGGTGACCCACGTTACCCTTCCTGCAAGACATTAGACCCAAGGTGACCCACATTACCCTTCCTGCAAGACATTAGACCCAAGGTGACCCGCATTACCCTTCCTGCAAGACATTAGACCCAAGGTGACCCACATTACCCTTCTTGCAAGACATTAGACCCAAGGTGACCCACATTACCCTTCCTGCAAGACATTAGACCCAAGGTGACCCACATTACCCTTCCTGTAAGCACATTACGATCCCAAGGTGACGCACATTACCTTCCCTGAAAGACATTAGACCCCACAGGTGACCCACCGTTACTTCTTTGCAGAGACATGTAGACCCGCCAAGGTGGACGCTAACAATACCCTTCCCTGCCAAGACCACCGGTAGACCAAGGTGACCACGTTACCCTTCCCTGCAAGAGCATAGACCCCAAGGTGACCACATTACCGCCTCCTGCAAGACATTAGAGCCAAGGTGACACCACGATTACGCTTCTGGCCACAGAAGTAGACCGCCAAGGTGACACATTATGCCTTCTGTAACGACATTAGACACAAGGTGACCACGATTACCCTTCTTGCAAGACATTAGCGACCCAAGGTGACCCACATTACTTCTGCAGACAGCGGGTTAGTCAAGTGACCCATAGGATGGACCTTTCTGGCAAGACAGTTAGACTCAAGGTGACCCCACCATTACGCCTTCTCCTGGTCAAGACATTAGACCGAAAGGTGACCGCCAACCATTAACCCTCTCCTGGCAGACAGTTCAACGCCAAGGTGACCACATTAGCCCTTCCTGGCAAGACATTAGCAGTCCACAGGGACCGCATGATACCTCCTGCACAGACATTAAGACCAAGCGTGAGCCCCACATTAGCCATTTCCTGCAAGAGCAGTAGGCAGCGACAAGGTGCGACCCACGATTACCTTTCCTGGGCAAGACAGTAGACCCCAGGTGAACCCAGCGTTACCTTCCTGCCAAGACATTGACCCAAAGGTGACCACCGTTACACTTCGCAGACCATTAAGACGCCAAAGGGACTCACAATAACCCTTTCCTTGCAAGCAGCATTAGACCCAACGGTGACGCACCAATACCCTTCTGCACGACAGTCAGACCCAAAGGTTACCATCCACGTTACCCGTTCCTGCAAGAATTAACAGGTGACCACGTTACCCTTCCTGCAAGACATTAGACCCAAGGCGAACCACGTTACCCTTCCTGCAAGACATTAGACCCAAGGTGACCCACAATACCCTTCTTGCAAGACATTAGACCCAAGGTGACCCACGATACCCAGTAAACACTTGGATTTCCAACTGATGATGTGGTCAGTGTTTGTTTCTGAAATACATCTTCCCTGTGTGCCTTTCCTAAAGCTCCTTCTCTCTGTTTTTCCTTTATTATTATTTTGCCATTTTTGTGTTATAATGTATACATTATTCCCTGTATCACTTTTTGCTAGAGTCTGATGCTTTGCAGAAGAAAGCTGCTTTGTCACCCAGGGGTGAAAGGAAAACTTTTAGTTTTGTATTTCTGAAGACAGTCGAGCCCAATCCCTTACAGAATGATTTCTTTTATTTAACTCTTCTAAGGCTTGAAACTTGCAAAAAGTCACTTTCATGGCATAACAAAGAAAATCTTCAATTGGCAGACCCAATGGTTTACAAAGTATACTGAGGATAGCACCAAAGGGTAGTCTGCTAACAGTGGTGGTTATAAATAGCAACAACGACAACAATTTCTATAGCTCTGTATAGTTTCACAAAGGATTTTCACATACACGATCTCATTTTACTTTTTCAACAAATGTTATTACATAGACACTGTTTCAAATCCATTTTGCAGGTGAATATGCTTAAGGCTGAGCAGTTAATTGACGCTCCTAAAGATCCCTAGACTCTGAGAGATCATTTTGTTGCAATTTGCATACTTAAAAAATACTTTTATTCTTTCTATTTTTAGAGACAGGGTCTCTCTCTGTCATCCAGGCTGGAGTGCAGTGACATAATCTTAGCTCACTGCAGCCTCCAACTCCTGGGCTCAAGTGATCCTCCTGCCTCAGTTTTCCAAGCAGCTGGGACTACAGGCATATGTCACTATGCCTGGCTAATTTTTAAATTTTCTGTAGGGATGAGGTCTCATTATGTTGTCTTGGCTGGTCTCAAACTCCCAGGCTCAAGCGATCCTCCTGCCTTAGCTCCCCTGAGTGCTGGGATTACACATAATCTTTTTATTAACACCTCTATCTCTTACAGACTCCACCTAGTGTGTGTGTATTTAAGGAGGATCAACAGGTAAGAAGAAGGGGAGCAGAATCGGGGCAGAGAGAACACATGTCTGAACTTACTTGGCAGGAGCAGGTTCCGTTTCCTTCCATGCCTTCAGCACAATTGCCCCTGCCATTGCAGGGGGACCCCGCTCCTCCCGGGCATTCTAGGGAAGCAAACAGCCCAGATTCATTCACTCATGATTGCACAAGCATTCTGCACGGATGCATTTAAGCACCTACTATGAGCCAGTTCGTGTGCTAGTTGCCAGGATGAGAAATAATCGTACAGCCTGTTGGTATCATTTAGAGTTTTATAGGGAGGGAGACATGTAAACAGGAGAATCTCAGTGTGGCCCCATGCTGTAATAGAAGGCATCACGCTGTCTACCATTTCTTGAGCATTTGCTGTACACTTTGCACTGATATAAGCGGATCATTCCCATTCCTCAGTGGTAGTTGCTGTTGGTGCTCATTAGCAGATGAAGTTTAGAGCGGTCACAGAACTCACTCAAGGCCTCACAGTTTCTGAGTTGCAAAGCTAGGAATTTAGCTCAGCCCTTGGCAAGACTCTAAAGCCATGACTCTTAATCAGTTTGCCAGACAGCATATTGAGGGAGTCCAGAGAAGGGAGCTACTGCTGCTACCTTAGGGAATCTGAGAAACATCAGAGGAGGAATCATCAAAGCTGGGGTTTTGAAGGCAGAGTAAGAGTTGGCCATGCTTAAAAGGGAAGGGCTTTTCAGGAAGAGGGAACAGCAAGTACAAGCCTAAGAGGTGTAAAAGGGCCTGGTCTGTTTTGGGAATGATAGAGTTTGGTGGGGGTGGGGCTTGGGAGCTGGGGTGTGAGAGTAGGGGATGGGTGATGAGGGATAATAGGGTGGTTGGGGCCAATTAATGAAGTGCTTGGCAAGGTAAGAAAAGGAATCTAGAGTTCACTCGGAAGCTGATTCCAGACAAGCATGGATTTTGCATTTCTGGGCTATACTAGATCTGAATTGGAGCTTTTATAGACATTTATTAGAGGATTTCACAGTCATCCACTAAACATTCAGAGAATACCTACTATGTGCAAAGCATTATATTTCATGTTAGAGCAAAGGGACATTTAGCTAGAAAGCCAGATGCTGCAATGCTCAAAATCAAATAGAGAATTTAAAATAATGGTAAGTGACAGAAGTTGAAGATACTCCTGTCATGAGGATGAAAAAAAATCTTTTTGTTTTTATACTTGTGGTTGTTCTATACTTTGAGGGCTGCATTGACATAGGTTTAATGTGAATCGGGTGAAATCTGACTGTTGAAATAAGTGATCTACAAGCACCAAGCAGAAATCATGTAGAGACCATGAAATGTGTTCAGGTAAAGGCAGCCAGGACCAAATGTTATTCTAAATTTAAGCTAGCAAGGCAAGTGCCTTCCACAAAATTGCTAAAGGAGGCATGTATTTGCTACTCATAGCAATCCTCTGAATTTAAATTCTATTTTAGCCCCACTTTCTAGATGAGGAAACAGGCTCAAAGGAACAAACGTGGTGGAAGAGGAGAGGTAGGTCTCTGGGGCCTCTTATTAATCCGTTCATAAGGGTTCCACTCTCATGACCTAATTACCCCTCAATGGCCTCCTAATATCATCACATTGGGGATAAGGTTTCAACATATGAATTTTGGGAGGAGGCAAACATTCAGACCATCACAGCAGCTGTTGGAAAAGAGATCTAAGCACAGAGAAAGGCAGATCTCTGATCTTCGAAAGAGACCCTGCTGGCTCACTTGAGCTACTAGCTAGCTCTTTAGAAGAACATTTGTAACTTGCAGGTGCTGCAGAGGTGAGAGAGTCATATTGTCCATCCGTAAACCGTTTTCTCTCTGGCTCCTTCCGATTTTTCCCTGCATACCGAATATTAGCAAACTAAATGGTCTAAATTGCCTACTTTGAGTCTGTGGTCTCTTTCTTTCCACAGCAGTGGCAGAGCCAGGCTTCTAACCCAGGTAGGGGCTCCCAAGTCCCTGATACCATGCACTGTGACCCAACCTCATCAGGTAGCTCTGCAGCCCAGGACCATAGCACAGACGACAGACGTGTTTGAGAGGCGAGGGAGGAAGAAGACATGCTGATGCATAGCTAACATTTATACGTCACTTTGAAAAACAAGATGTTGGTTAGGGCTGCTCTCACCAACTCTGCCCATGGTTATGTGAGATGCTTATAGTATCAGGGGAGGAGCAGGGACAGGCAATCGGAATGTCCTAAGTTTGAATCTCAGCTCAGTCCTTTGCTTTTCCTTTGGGAAAGGCCATGCCTGGCTCCAAGACTCAGTTCAAGTGTGTGCTGGGACAGTGCTGTCTTCTAGGCAGGCTTTTGTAGGGACTAGAAATATTAGGTGCTCAATAAATGGTAGTTGCTATTATTCAGAGCAGATCTTCTTCTCTGGTTTTTATTGTTTCAGATTGGTGCTATAACAGTCAACGACACTCAGAAAATAACTTAACTGGGCACCTGTTTGGACCAGACACCATGTAAGGTCCTGGGTCTTTATGGATGAACACACAGACCTGGTTCCTACTTCCATGGTTCTACTAGCCTAGCGAGGGGAGAGTCGTGGATTCAACAGACAACCAACCAGGTAATACTGGTTTACAAACTGGGATAAGGGTTATCATGGGAAGAGACCTAGAGCTCTCATCACTCTATCTACTGGATGTTACCAATATTTACCCAAAGCAACCTAATGCAGAATGGCCCAGTTGGTTTACATTAGTCTCAACAGCTGACAACAGCCACATCTTTGAAGAAGAGCCTTGTTAAAGATTTTGGTCTTTGTTTAAAGAGCAGCAGGAGGTGAGGATGAAGAGGAGGGAGAGAGCTTCATCAGTTTAAAGACTGAGAAAGATGTTGTTTTATCGTCTTCTAACTTATATCGTTTCTAATAAGAGATCTGCCATCATTGTTATCTTTGTTCCTCTTAACATAGTGTCTTTTCCTTTTGGCTGCTCCTAAGATTTTCTCTTTATCACTGATTGTAAAGAATTTTATTATGATGTATAGAAAAGATTAGTGAACTTAAGGACAGGCAATAGAAACTATACAAAATGAAGTAGAGAGACCAGATATCTTGGGAAGCAGGAGAGAGTAATGGGTTAGAGCCAGGGCTTTGCAGTGGAATAGCCCTTGTTTCCCCATCTGGCTGTGCACCGACTAGCTGGTTCTCTCTGGGGAAGCTGCAAAACTCCTCAAAGCCCCAGTATCCTTACCTGGGCTCACTGGTACAATTGTTATTCCTCACCTGCTTTTGTGTCCATTTTCTTTAGTAGCGTGTGAACACCTTAGGGGTAGAGACCTGTCATATATGTGATTAGGAGCAGTGCCTATCATGTATGTGATTACAGGCAGCATATAGTAGGCACTCAATGAATGCTCAACTTTTATGAGTTGGCCAACTCTGGAGGGAACTTTGGAAAAAGGGTAGCAGGAGTATGGGGGTGTGGGGAGTCCTCATTTTATCGCCTAAACAAACTTTTAACAATTTATGAAAACTACTTGCTTAGTTTTTAAATAAACTTTTAAGAGCAAAAGTATAAATTTCTTTCCTGCTTCTCAAATCATTTTCTATCACCTCAGGCCCCTATTAAGGAAAAAGATGATAAAATTGACATTCTCAGCAACCATGCTTGAAAGAAATATAGAATTTGCTATAAGGGCACATTTCGGATGCATCATGAGGCTCAAGCAGCTGATAAGACTATTTTAGGTCATTATCACATTTCCCTTGGGTCACTACTACTCTGGTGGTCTCTTGTGTCCTGACTTTCTTCACGCAGGAGGTTTAACCATTATGAGCTGTCAGCAAATCATCAGCTGGGCTGTTTCTTTAAAGGAAGATAATAAACTTCCTGTCCAGCAAGAGGCCAAGGACTTCCCTGAACTTTATCTGCCAAGAAACTCTAGAGGTGCCTATTCCACGTCATCACCTTTGTTTAAGATCTTGGTGCACAGTGCCAGGCAGAAAATATGTCCTGTATTCCATTTATAGTTCTGGTTGGAATTGTCTGCCTGGGAAAGTGCAGTGAAATATGTTCTTAATGTGAACTCAGCATCATTTGTCACTCAAAGCAACATGCCTAAAAGAATGGTTTCAAATGCATATAGTCCATTATTTGCAACCTGGGCAGTGGATGGCAAGAAACATGCAGTGAGAAAGGAAAAGGGGTCTGGAAATGCAAGTAACGTGATACAAAAAAATAATGTGGATAATTTGATGACATTGACCTAAAAAAGAAAAATCAAGAGCATTTCTCTTTGAAATAACCAGATTGTTTTGGCCACAATTGAGTTTAGGTGTGACCCCTTTGCACATATTTGTTTTCCATTTACTTCGAGTTGCTGCACAAATCCATGAATGTTCATGGAAGAGTAAAAAGAGCAGGGATGTTCAAATAGAAAAAAATCTATTTCATCTCAAATAGAATACTGGCTGTTCAAATGTGATTAAGTTTCAAAGTTAAAAATATGTTTTTGTGCTAATGAGAAAAGACCTCCATATGCACATTTGATAAAGCAGTTCAAATTTTAATTAGGGAGAAGCAGGTAAAATTTGGGTAGAAACACCTTCCTTATGTCAGGATGATATTTTTTTTTCCCCTGAAGTGAGAACTCATGTCTTACTCTTAAACTGTAGAAGATGATGGGTTTTTTTTTCATTGTGCTTTTCTGCATTTTCTAAGTTTTCAACATTGATCATAGAGTTATTTCCTAAATTTGAGTAAGATACTATTAAAATCATTTTCAAAATAACCCAGAGGTACTGGGTGTGAATGTATTTTTAATGCATTACAAAGGAAGTGGGTGTTCCATTTGCTTTGGAAACAAGGCCATTCTGGAGCTTGGGAATGTGTTTCCTCCAAAAGAAGGATGGACACATGTCAGCAGCTCTGCAATGGCCTTATCCTTGCGGAAATGTAACGTGGCTGTCAAGGTCTTGCTTGTCATCACCACAAAACGGGAGAGGTGAGAAACACACAGCTAAGTGGAGCATTTATCTTTTTTCCTGAGCCAAAGGAAGGAAGCCTTTCAAGACATTTAGTATGCTTGGAAGATGAGGATAAAGGGAAGCACCCTTTGCCCCAGTGAAAGGACAGCAGAAATAATATCCGGGTCTCCATTTTTATATGTTTTGCTTCTCTGGCTTTGAGACCTCTTTGAAAAAAATGCCTGAGCAGTCAAAGAATTCTTTCGGACTCTTTTTTTTTTTTTTTTTTTGAGACAGAGTCTCGCTTTGTTGTCCAGGCTAGAGTGAGTGCCGTGGCGTCAGCCTAGCTCACAGCAACCTCAAACTCCTGGGCTCGAGTGATCCTTCTGCCTCAGCCTCCCGAGTAGCTGGGACTACAGGCATGCGCCACCATGCCCGGCTAATTTTTTATATATATATCAGTTGGCCAATTAATTTCTTTCTATTTATAGTAGAGACGGGGTCTCGCTCTTGCTCAGGCTGGTTTTGAACTCCTGACCTTGAGCAATCCGCCCGCCTCGGCCTCCCAAGAGCTAGGATTACAGGCGTGAGCCACAGCGCCCGGCCTCTTTCGGACTCTTGATCGTAGATGTGAACTTTGCCACTGTGTGTGCACACGGCACAGTGCGATGGCATGAAACCCCTTAAGGATTTTGGACCCTCTTGGCCTGCTCACCTTTTAAGAGTCACCCACTGTTAAAAAGGGCTCAGAGAAAAGTGTCAATTTATTTGCCTTTCATTATCAGAGGTCCAGTTTGGCTGTGATCCACTCACTCATTTATTCATTAAACGTTTATAAGGTGCCTTCTTTGTGTCATACACTTTGCCAAGTCCTGTCACCTAGATTGATGTTTCAAAATCTCTACTACAGTTTTATAAAGAAGGACTTTTTACCCCTGTTTGGCAGATGAGGAGTCTAAGGAGTAAGCAGGAAGTCATTTGCGCAAACCAGTAAGTGACGGGACTAATTTCACACCTAAAACTTCTGGTCGCAGGCCTGTGTTCTTTTGCCCGCCTGGCTGTGGTCCGTTACTCACTGTATTGGACGTGCTGACTTACGTACTGCATCTTAGACAAAGCTTATTCTTCTCTACAGTGTGTCTGATTAATAACTGAGCATCAGATTAGTTTTCATGAGTTAGGAAGAGGAAAGCAAATCTAAAAGTTCCTTCTATTGTATCAGAATGTCTATAAGAACTGGACATAATCATGAACATATTTGGCCCTAAAACAATTCCTTGAAATCTTTAAATCTCGGTTAATCACTTTAAAAGACCTGCATCTGAGTATTTTATTTAGATTTGCTAAACTCTTAGAAATATGCTGTGCCAACATGGTGGGGTAAAACTGAACATAGAGCAGTTAACAGAGACAAGGGCCAGGATATCTTAAACCCCAAACCTTGATCTTTCCAGGGCAAGGAGTATAATCCAGGAATTTACTCAGAAGGCTGAAAGGGTCTATCAACCAAAAGAGACATTAGAAATACATCTTGAGGCTCTCCTTTTAGATAAAGTTTGCTTCAGGGACTTGGAAAGAGTAGAAAGAAAGCAGGCTTTGGTGCCAGGCAGCCTTGAACTTGAACTTGCTTTATCACTTTCCAATCCAAAGGAAAATGGCAATGGCATTTCATGTTTAAATTCTGATTTTTCATAGGCAAAATGGGGATAAAAATATCTAAGTCAGAATTACATCAGATAAATATAGGCTGAGTACCTCTCAGGTACCTAATGTCAGCAACGTTGAGTAAACGGAAGCTGTTATTCATTTAATCATTAGTTAAACAAACAGGAGACATTATACGTACAATATAGGCTCAACTATTTAGAAACTATATGGAAAAAAACACCAAGATTGAAATATGCCAAAATATTTAAGGTTTTCTATGTGTGACATAATATAAATTGATGCTTTTTCTTTCTTTTCTTCTCTAAACTTTACAAGCTGTGTAAAGTTGCTTATATTACTTTAATAAGAATAAAAACAAAGCAAAAGAGAACTAATCCCTCTCTTTATATGGATCCTAAGGAGATGTCTTCATTTCATTTTAGAAGATGGGGAACAAATGGTAAATTCATGCATTAAAATGCCTGGTTTTTGATTACAAAAAAAAAAAAAAAAAAGAGCGAGAGAGATTTTACATAATTTGCATATGGTAGCAAGAACTCAGTCACTATTTGAGTGTTAACATCTATAAGGATAAAAGTTCAATTTCAGGTATCCAATGTTATGCTTGATCACAGAAGTCTAATGATACCATTGATTCAGACCTTGCTAGTAGTTTTTCTTACAGGAAAACCTTGTCAGAATTATTTTTTATGTGTATATGTATTTGCATGTAACTTTACGCATTTGACTTTACAGTTTCTTTACACTGATGTGTCTTAAGTCCACCATTTTAGATTGTGATATTCCATTCTAAGACTTAAAATTTTAGAATTTTTAATAATTATTTTGGTTGTCAAATAATAATTACAGTCTTCAAGATATTGTAATAAAATTTCTTCTTAAAAAAATTGTATCTGGGGTTATAATAGCCTAGCTTTTTACTTCCTCTCTTTGGCCACTTGCTTTTTTTTTTTTTTTTTTTTTTTATTTAAATTCTTTTGCCCCGTTTA